TAAATAAATAACTTACACCCTATATTATTTAATAATTTTTTAAATAAAGAAATTAGATAGTTTAAATTATATGTAAATATTATAACAATAAGCAATAATAGAATGAAATAAATAACTTACGAACTATATTATTTAATAATTTTTTAAATGAAGATATTAGATAGTTTAAATTATATGTAAATATTATAACAATAAGCAATAATAGAATTAAATAAATAACTTACGAGCTATATTATTTAATATATTTAAATAAAGAAATTAGATAGTTTAAATTATATGTAAATATTATAACAATAAGCAATAATAGAATTAAATAAATAACTTACCATCTATACAATAATTTTTTAAATAAAGAAATTAGATAGTTTACATTATATGTAAATATTATAACAATAAGCAATAATAGAATTAATAAATAACTTACCATCTATAAAATAATTTTTTAAATAAAGAAATTAGATAGTTTAAATTATGTGTAAATATTATAACAATAAGCAATAACAGAATTAAATAAATAACTTACTCCCTATATTATTTAATAATTTTTAAATAAAGAAATTAGATAGTTTAAATTATATATAAATATTATAATAATAAGTAATAATAGAATTAAATAATAACTTACCATCTATGAAATTATTTTTTAAATAAAGAAATTAGATATTTTAAATTATATGTAAGTACAATAAGTAATAATAAAATTAAATAAATAACTTACCATCTATGAAATAATTTTTTAAATAAAAAAATTAGTTAGATTGAATTGTACAAATAATATAAATATAGATATCATATAACTTACACCCTGTAGTATTATTAATTATTAATTAGTTATATATAAAAATAATATAAAAGTAATTACTATAAATTATATATAAATTATTTACAATCTAGTTATTTAAATTACCGTAAGAATATAATTAGTTGAATTATATAAAATATTAAACATGAATTGTTTGTAAATAAAAACTTAATATTTCAGCTTGTTTGATATACCTTTAATATGTTGATCCATTACTATATCAAAATTCTCTCTAATTGAAAAGATAAAATAAATATCTTTTTTTCTTTTTTTTTTTATTGTTAACGCCTTTATTAGTATAAATAAATATAGTAACAATATTTATGCAAAATACATTATGTGCAAAAAAGGTGATCACAAGTATAAGCATTACATCATGACAAACAAATTGGAATGTAGATCAATTATTACAAAATCGCAATAACTTGGTTAATCATTTCATCTTAGGTAATTATTAAGCACCAATGAAATGATTATCATTCATTTTTATATAATAGTTTGCTTATTTTTTCTATTGTATTGTTTTGTTATATTATTTTTAAATAAAAAAAATATAACAATTCCTTTTACTTATTCTAACAATTTGATCATAACAATGATTATAAGGACATTCATTTTTTCCATTCCATTCTTTTTTTTTGTTCTCATTTCGTCTTTTTCATTCCTTTATACTAAACTTCATTTCTTTTATTTTTATTCATCATTTTCATTAATAATTATCTTTTTTTTCAAATTGTAATTTTATTAAATTACAAAAAGTTTTGAAATAAAAATATAAAGCTATAAAAAAAGCATTCCAATTAATGTATGTGTTTATGGTGTTACACAGTAAAATTCGATAAACTGGATCTATCAGATCAGACAATGTTTATATTTCTATATTTCTTTAACAAACATATACTAATTTCTTTTTTTAGAAGACTGAGCCTTTGAACATGTATGAATTAGTAGGATGGAGATTTTTTTTGAACTATTCTTTAAGAAATGTTTATTAACATTTCTTTCTCCTTTTTAGGTAACTTATTTTCAAACTTCTGGATGCAAATTTCAGTAAGCATTTTTTTTTTCTTAACTATTTTAATGAAACATTTTTTAATGATTCTCTTTTTCTTTGATTTCCTAGTGTCCTAATAAAAAAAAAAGATTTTTCTTATTTTTCTTGGTAAGAAATTAGTTCTAAACATTGTTACCCCTAGTCATGTGTAGAGTTACATCTTACTACGCCAAAGGATCATGTGAAAAATTAGGATCTACCGTATCCAACTGTGCCAAGCTGACCTAGCCACAGCCTACTTAGCCTATTATTTCTATTATATTTATTATATTAATTATATTTAATACAAATGATATAATTATTTTATTTATTATATTTAATTTATTTATTATATTTAATTTAGTATTTATTATATTTATTATATTATTTGGATTAATTTTATATTCACCAGTAGTTAATTTAAAATCAATTCACCAGTGGTGAATTTCACTTCAATTTTTATAAATTTTTATTAAAATACCAAATTTTAGTAATTTAATGGTGAATTTTACCTGAAATTCACCTTTGGTGAATTTTACCCTAATTTACATAATGTATAAACAAACTTTTAGCTTTAGAACACCATTTTTCTTTTTTTGTTTTTATTTTCTTTAAACAATATAAACAATATGGAGGATTCTAATGATTATCATATGGGCGGATTTGATTCACGGGATAAAATTGCTTTATTGCCTCATTGGTCCTTTTGCGTAATACTAAACTGATCAGCAAACACAAGATTTCACATCAGGTGAGTTGTAGATCAATTGAAAATTTTTTTTTTTTGAACTTACCAACGTTAAAAAAAAATATTTTAAAAAAAAACTGCGTTTTAACCCATCTGACATAGTTACAACCCATCTGACTTAAGGTATATCAGTCTGTGAGTTGTATGAATATTTAGTGCTGGAGTTTTTTTTTATTCTTTTGGCTAGTTTTCTATTTCTTCTTTTTTTTTCTTTTTACCTTTTAGATCTAAGAAGTTTTTTAAATAATATTGTTTTAAATTCTCCCTTTTTGCTTATATAGGTTCATTTGAGAAGACTTATTGTAAAGATATTTTGAAAGTGAATTTTTGAAAAGAGTTTGGATGGTTATCTTTATATTTCACTATTTTTTTGTCACAAGTGTTGAGCGTTCAAAATGTTTTATGTTTCTTATTATACTTAAATTTAAAGTATTATAAATACTGTAATAGATTGAATTTATAATTTAAAAATCAATTTTTAGTTTTAACTTGAAACTCGTATACTACTTGTGTATTTTTTAAAATTAGAAATTAAATTAAAAAGAAGCGAAAGTAAAAAAAACATTTTATTGGAGTGGCTTAGCGTTATCATATAATGTTACACTGATCTACATATCATAAATCTGGCCAAAATTAAATCGTATCAAAATTGATTTTTTTTTAATCACACATCTTTATGGACATCGTGCAATACATCCTTAACTTTGCTGTGCTTGCATAATGCAAAAATTCAGCATATTTAGGTGATGAAACAAATCCACCGATATGTAATAAAGACATATATAAGACAAATGCACTTTTTTTGCCATATTCTGAAACTTTGGACTTTTTATTATCACCATTTAATGATAATTTTGCTATAAATATTTTACCAGTTGTTGAACCAGATTTTAATCATAATTTTACAAACATAGATAGTTTTTCTCTTGAAACACCTTGTAAACCATCTATTAACCCTTCTTTATAGTTACTTTCTGAGCCTTCTTTAGAGTTATTTCCTGAACCTTCTTGTGAAACTCCTTTTGAACTACCTTTTGAAGAACATTTTGAATCATAATCTGAACAGGTAAGAACTAAACCAAAAAACCAGCGGTTCAGTTTAATTTAATCTGATTTTTATAAAAATGTGAAAAATCGAATAGCCATCCATCTAGTGATCGTGCAAAGTCTAGCCATATATCATTGGATTCCACTCGATGAGATGCATCGTCATTCTAATACAATCAGTAGAGATGGGTTATATTTTAGATCAGAATTTTTATTTTTTTGACATTCGAAAATTTAAAAAAATGCGAAAATTAAGATAACTCATTATGTAGTGATCATAAAGAAATGAAAAAGGCTCATTAAATTCATCCCATTAAGACCCATCGAATGATGCCAAGATTATTTCTCTAGAATCAATAGATATGATTCTATTGCTAGTTTCATAAAAACTGTTTAGTGTTGATTATTTCGTGATATATCAAGGTTAAAGAGATTATCTTACCACCATTCAATGTGTCTTGATAGGATGATTCTAATGAGCTATTGCACGTCTTCATACAATTACTGGTTGCCAAGTTATTTTGATTTTCACATTTTTTCTTAAAATAAAATAGAACTGAACTGAACTGAATGGTTCTGGTTACAAAACTAAACCGAGAACTGAACTGAATTTTTGGTCAGTTTCAGATCAGTTCCCAGTTCAAACCAGAACCGTTTGGAGTTCTAGAGCTGACTATATTCTAAATAATATAAACATTTGATAAAAATTTGTTAAGTACATTAAAATGTATTACAGTTCCTTCAGCTTTTCATAATCACTATTATTGTATCTATACGTGAATGATTCTGATAGTTCAACAAGACTTGAAGAAAAATCATATGGTAAAAACTCTCATGATAAGGAATCCCTACGTGGCATTTAAGATAAAAACTATTCTCATGATTTAATAGTTCTGGTATGTTCAAAAGAACTTTTCAAAAAATACGCATTGGCCATTTCTTTATCAGTATGGAATTCTTCTAGATTTCAACTTGAAAAATATGTATTGGCTATTTCTTTACCGGTCTTTGACTTTTGATAAGATTTTATTAGAACTTGACTTATATCAAGAACAAATGGATCTCAATAATTTTTTTTGGTAAACTTGGCCGGTAGTAGAAGTAGTTGAAATTTGTCCATGATCCACTTCAACAATTTTTACTTCATCAGACAGTTCATCTTTACTTTTTGCTGTGAATTTTTTTCATATTTATTCATTTCTGTATTAATAATTTTTTTGAAATAGTAAGTATAAATGATACATCTTTGAATAATGGAATGGAATAATGAAAAACAATCAATATATTAACTTTTTTGGAAGGTAGAAGTTTGTCCATGATTCAATTCAACGATTTCTTCTTTATTGGACAGTTCATCTTTACTTTTTGTTGCAGATTTTTTTTTCATATTAGTTCTAATCCAAATATCATGGATTTTGAACTTATATGAGCCAAAATCCCATTGGGAATAAAGAAACACTTATTCTTTTACAATAAATAAAAAAAAAAAAAATTTATAAGTCAAAAACTATTTTAATAGCTTTTAAAAATTTAACCAAACTGGTTCCAAACTGATTCCAAAAACTGATTCAAAATTTGATCAACATCAAAATTATGATGACCATGAACCAACTATTGATTGTTAACCAATCAAAATATTTTTAATTTATCATTAACATTTGCTCTATTTGTATCTTTAATTTGATACATGTAGCTCATATTTTTCTTATGGAACTGAAGCGGAACTGATGGCAAACTGAAATGGAACCAGACGAACCATCCCCATCCCTAACTGTAGTACCACAACATTATGCTGAACATTTCCTATTCCTAAGAGAAAAAAACCAAGAAAAGAAAAAAATTGAGAAAAATTTAATAAAAAAAAATTAGTAAAATATGTATCATATCCATCATTTTCACCATATTTCAACATATATCTATAAGGAGCTGACTGTGGATCAAATGCATAAAGCTTGAAGCTTGAAACATATTCTAAACTTAAAAACAATTGTAAGCTTGAGATATAAATATGTAATTTCATTGTTAATACGATCATCTAAATAATACTGCACTAGAAAAATTTTAAGGAATAAAGAGCAAATAAGAAAATATTAAAAAATTATGAAAGCTATGAATAAGCGCTAAGGTTGCTTGTCTAAACCTCTTCAAAATCCTACGATTAGTTTCGTCAAAATTTTACTATAGATTTATTATAGTTTCGGCAGAGTTTTGGCAGTTTCAGCATTTATAATAAGTTTCAGCAGTTTTGCTTTTCTCCAAAGTTTTGCCAGTTTTTTAATATAACTTTAATATAGTTTCAGCAGAATTTTGCTTTTCAGCGAAACGCCATCTTGCCTAAACCCCTAGGTTTCGGCAAGCAACCTTAATAAGCGCTAATTAAAAAATTTTTATTGCTTGAATGGCAGCTTATTAGAACTTTTTATTTCAGATAAATAATCATAATAAAACATAAAGTTCCAATAATCTTTTATTCTGTTGTAAATTGAATAATATAAATAATAATCTCCTTAATTAAATATAAAGATATTAGTAAATATAAATTATGAATATCCACACACCTTTAATACATTTCATCTATAAGTTCATAGGCTCTAATATATAAACAATTATATTTTTTAACTTTAATATTATATGATTCAAATTCCTTCAATTCATCTGTCATAGTAAACAAATCTTTTTTATAATTATATAAATAATTATTATTATAATATCCTTCAATAGCTAAATATTCAGCCCTTTTCTCTTTCATAATATATTCCTTTATACATGGTAAAATGTCATTAATCAATATATTAATTCTGAATAATAATATCTTAATAAAAATATGTTTTGAATTTCTTAAAAATACTTTCAAATCATTAATTGTATTATTAATAACAAGTTCTAAATTTAAATATTCTAATCTACAAGGAAGAATATGTGCTAAATTTAATAATAATTTTGTACTAAGTTCATTTTCTTCATCATGCATAAATAAAGTATTGTAATTATGAACATCTATAGAAAGATAATTAAGGTTTTGTACAAAATTTTTAATTAAGCTTAATACTAAACAAGAACTCTGAATATTAAATATATTTAAATCAAAAAATTTAATTTTTTCACAATAATTATTAATCAATACTAATAATTTGTGTTTTAATTCATCATTAATAAATAATTTAAATCTAATATTTTCTAAATATTTCCCAGATTTTTGAAATAATGATTGTATTAAATCAATTTGTAATTTTTAATTATCTTCACGTATCATAAACAAAGATCTTAATTTAAATGGTTTATTAATATCAATTATTTGTTGAATAAAATTAGAATTTAAAATATGACAATAAAGTATATGAATAGATTCTAAAACATTTAATTGTTCAAATGCTTTTTTTATATATGATATATTTTTAAAATTAATTCCATGAAATATAATTATTTTTAAATTATTTGAATTATTATGATTAATGATATTATATAATGGAAAACTATCATATGATGATGATGACTTACTATATATTGGATTATTATATGCTAAAAAAAATTTTTTAAGATTTTTTTGTGAATTAATAATCTGTAATAATTGGTTTTCAATCGCCATACAATCATTATTAAAACTTTCATATTCTGAAAATTTAAAATGAAGTGATGAAATTAAATTACATTTAGAATAAAAACATTTTAAAAAATTATAATTTAAAATTTTTTCATTAAAATGAAGTTTTAAATTTTTAATATTACTAATGAATTTTGGATTTTGTAAGATTAATTCAAAAACAGAATTAAAATATTCATTATTTACATTATGAAAGGTATATGCTATTTCAATTTCAAATGTATGTAATTTAACTCCATTTTCAATGAACACTTTAATTAATAATAAAAAAATAACTCCTGTTGAACAGGTGAATAATTTGTTAGTTTTAATCCAATTTACAATAGTGAAACAAATATTTTGTGTATTTAAACATTTAATAAAATTGGAATAATTAAATAATGTATTTAATAAATTATTATTAATTCCATGTTATTTAGTTGTGTTTTGTCTTTTTCATTTAATTTTTGTAAGTAAATTTCAATAAAGTGAAAGTTTTTAGGATGTTTCATTGAAAATGGATCTTTCCACAATAATGGAATTGTCGTATTACACCATAATCTATTAACTAAAATACATGAAAGTAATGTTGGAATGTCATCCCAAAGGTATTGTATAATATTACTTGTTAATTCAGGTAAATTCCCTAATATAAATTTTGAACATGCCATGTTGACAAATGAAGAAAGAAATGAGGAGTATTTTTATTTTAAAAAAAAAAATATCAAATTGGTCAAATTTACAAATTTATAATTTTTCGGAGCTATTTTTCCTATTGAATTAACATTTATGGTGATCCAGTCGTACATCTGTTTTTGTGGCGGTCACCTGTCGCGGTAAAAATTGGATACTATTCTATTTATAGATAACCTGAAATCATCACTTTAACCAATCAATTTACTCAATTTACAGAAAATCGCAAATGATCTTTAATATTTTTATTTTTACAAAAAATTGTTTCAAAATACTTACATTATACAGCAGTATCTTGTACGATTTAGTTGAGCGCTCAATCTATCTTGCATCGTAACGACGTAATGTATATTAAATAGTTATTGGATGAGGGAGTAGCTATATCGGTCACAGAACTGATATAGCCCCACATCCAATAAATGTGTTATCGTTCTGACGGTTTTGATCATGCATTAATTAATAACATCATAAATAAGCTTTCTATAAATTTCAATTTTATGCTAATTTAATCCACTTTATAAGCTTTATTTAAACTTTTCCTACAAAATATTCATTTACACCGTATTTTTTACTCCACTTTATTATATCAATCATGTGTTTTAATAAAAATATCAGTCTATGAAAATCTGCATGATCCTATTGGGCTGAACGATAAGTATTATTTATTTCATAGATAAGGAGTTGAGAATAATAGGGTTTTTCCCTTCGGGAAAAAACCCTAATGTTCCCCTTCCTATGAAATAAATAGGTAATCCCCTGGAGCGTGCCACTCATTAAATATTAACTATTTTAAACTTAACTATTTTAATCTAAAATTAGTAATTTCCCGGCTATCTATATGAGGCCAGAAATAAGTAAACGAAGATTCCCGGTCATTTATAAACTCAGCTAATCACTCGCAATTTTTGATCATGAGTGATACTTAGTGCGACAGGTAGTTAAAATTTGCGAATTTTTTTTCTTGATATTGTCGCGGGTGGTGTTTATTTAAAAAAGATGGGTAAAAAGTCTATCAATATTGGAATAAAAAGCCTATTCTTATTAGTCAAAATAAGTATATTAAAGGGTTTTATGGTACAAATACCGTGGGATAAATCAGTTATTTCACGGAGTCACTGGAATATCATGATTTCACGGTGCAGCCGTGAAAATCATTGATATCCACAGTTCCCCGTGAAATAACTATTACATGCGAAACAATATATATACTCTACTTGGATTTTATTTGATAAGGATGTGTAAAGTACAGGTGGACAACATCGAAAAGGTCAAAAGGCAAAGTAGCAAAGTAGCAATGTGACGGTAATATATCGATTCACGTGTATTAATATATACACAATGATTTTCTTTAAAGGTATTCAAATTTTTGTCAGGAAGATTTAACCATTGTCTTCAATTAGGATTGGGGATTATAAAAGATTTCTTTAAGTTTTGAACTGACAGTTCAATTCATGAACTTTCACTACTAAAATGAAATAAACTAAGATTAAAATTTCTCAATTTAATACTAAATACACCAACGTTTGAGATCTTTTTTATATTATTAACTTCTAAACAGAATGACAAATGGAAAATAAAAGATTTAAATAAATTCAGGTAAAAATACTTATTAGAGTATTTTTACAATTACATTTAACACATTCAAGCAATAATTAAGTACTTAAGGACTATAGCCTGCCTAATAATTTTTTTTTGCTCCCTTTATTAATTTTCTTCACAAAAACTACAGCTTAAATTAAATATAGTTCGGTTATCGTATTAATTAAAATTGCTCAACACCCTCAAAGTTTTTAATATTACATTTTTTATTGTGAAACTAGATTAGTCCCCGCCAATGAATGCTATGAATTACTTAACACCAATATCTTTTATATTTACATATTTTTAATTAAATTAATTATATTTTAAATAACATTACTTTTCGTACATTGCAAAGTAATTTCTATACAATGTACAGTAGTATAATGAACTTCAATAATATCTTTATTCTTTAGTTAGTATATTATTCCAATATTGTCAATACGATAAATAAAATTATTATATTTCGCGATAATAAATTTATATACATATACTGTACATATTATTTATATATAATTACCAAAGTATTTACGATGATTTTGAAGAGATTGAAAAGGAGACTCTTTCTGATGATCATTCTGCTCAAATTTTCAGCGGAAGGAAAAACGTCTTTTACGAGTTTTTTTATTAATAAAACATAAATAAAAAACCTCAAAAATGGAGTCAGCATACAAATTTACAGAATATAGATATAGGTTTCTGAAAGAAACAAAAAATATTTTCAGTGCGAACTCAAGGACTACAGCAAAAAGCCAAGAAAGAGTACCAAGAGACGGCGGTCTCAGCAAAACTGAACAGAGCTTCCTGGAGTCGATACGGAATGACGCTGTACGAAAAAAAGAGACTATACAAGAAATAGTTTTAAAGTGTTCAGCAACGACTTTCGACGTCTATATAGACAAAATAAAAAGACTCTCATGGGAAAATTCAAAGTTGCGAGAAGAGCTGCGGAGGCAAGATCACATGATGGACAAGAAAGGCAAGTTGGAGAACACACAAGAACGAATAATATCGCAGAAAAATGAGCAAATAAGGAAAATTTCACAAGAAGTAGAGAAAACGAGATCAGAACTAAATAAGGTTAAAACTGGCGTCAACAAAGAAATCGATCAGCCGAAGAAATCCAAAAAAGGCAGATCGACATCAAACAGGAGAAAACAGGAAGAAATTTTAGAGATACCAGTTTTACCCAAAAATACCAGTAATGATCAGCAGGCCAAGAAGGCACGTGACATATTTTTCTACGATATACCAAAATATTGGAGTGAGGACGACGTAAGAACAAATCTGATGAAGATAGGAACAGTTTATAGACTGCAAATTCGAGGACAATACAAATACAAAACCATTAAGGCAAAAATCGCTTTGAACGAAAATTTCGAAAAAACGTTCTTGGATGGACATTTCGGTATTTGTATTAGCAAAAACTTTATCAGATGGTACGACGCGAAATTAGGGATGAAAGGACGACAAGAGCGGGATCAATGGCAGACTGTGAGAGATCTAACTAATGAGGAAATGGAATCCATAAAGAAGGGAAATACATACAACTTCACGAAAAAACTGCAACAAACTTCCAAGACGGCGTTCATTAAAATTATCAAAATCACAAAAAACTGGAAAGTGATTGGATACTACAAGAACCTCAAAGAAATGGAAGAAGCAGTGGAGGATTCATGCACATAAGGAGATATCAATAGAGTTTGGCTTGTGAGAAACAAGAAGACGATATATAAAGACGGTGATGCTAAGATAAGGGCGACAAAAGTACAAGAGAAGATAGTCAAAGAAAAGGTTATAGCTACGGAAAATAGGACGAGCCCACCTTTACGGCCGGCAAGTGAACCGAAGACACCTATTACACCACCAGAGAGAATTTACAGAGAATTAGGGAACTTCGCCTCACGAAAAGAAAGCTTATTACATCCATCAAAAGCGGAAAAGCCACTAAGGATAAGTAAGACGCCAGACGAAAACGAAGTTGTCGAGATGATCAAAAATTGGAGAGTAGGAGAAGAGAATAGTTCAGATCAAAATGACACTTCAGAAAACAAGGGGCAACAACTGAAGAAAGATAACGTAGCGCCTGAAGAAGTGGTTGAAATCATAAAAGATTACAGAACAACGAACAAAATCAAATACGTTCAGTATCAAGAATCAACCCACGATGGAAGTTTGGTGGACAAATTGAAGGAAGTGAAAGATATCTTCAATCAAACGTCCAACGAAATGGAATGGGAAAAAATTAATATCGAGGCCGTGGACGAATTACGTAAGGAGCAAGGGATAAACAACTATGACGAAGCAAAGAATTGGGCCTTGGAAAAAAATAATTTTTTCCTTTTAGGACAAAAGATTATTAGTTTAGCGGAAAAATCAAAAATATTCCAAGAATATACTACCCTAAACGAAAATTTTAAACAAAGATTGGAGAACGAAAATCGCTACCAAGATGAAAAGAAGATTGGCGAAAAAAGACCAATATTAGAATCGCCGAGCAAATGGAGTGACTTAGAGGATGAAGAGGAGAGGAACAAGGCTTTCAAGGCATTTTATTTGGAAAAAAGGCAACGAGAGCTGATCCTATCCCCTTCCGTGAAAGAAGACAAAGAAGAAGAGGAAGAAGAAGAATTAGAACCTAAGGCATCACCATCAAAGAAGAATAGTGGAAGTGGAAAGAAAAAGAAGAAGAAGAACAACAAGAAGTGAAGAGAGAAAGAAGAGATCTATGAGGAGAAATGAATTATATTTTTAATCGAAGTCACGTGATTCACGTAAAAAAGATTCCGATAACAAAATTAACAACAAAAATGTATTTTATTTCGAATTGTTCAATTTAGTTTAGAATACTAACTTTTATTTTTTGTAGGTATAAGGGGGATTTGGTGGAATAAACTGTTTGGGTGTGAGACAGTTGGGTCTCATCTTTTTGAAGCTGCACAGGGCAGACCTGAATGCTATTACGCATTTCACCTTTAATCCTACACCTTAAAAATTAGAATTCAAATAGTTAGGTTTCAAAAATAGTTTAGTTTGCCAGTTTTAGTATAGTTTATTTTGTCAGGTACTGTATTTATTTTATTATTTTTCTGTAATGTATCTTTTAGTTCGATAAACACTCCCTATAAGAAAAAAATGTCCATAAGATGTACATAAAACAACTGATAAATAAGCGTCATTAATTAAACATAATTTAACCATCTTATGTACATCAAATACCTATATTTTAAACATAAAACATACATAAAAATGAGCCCATTTTGAACGAAATATGGTCATAATTTTGTCTATTTTATATCCGTTTTATATGCATATTCTTTCCACTTTATGTACTAACTTTGTCATAATTTATCAATTTTATATTTATTATATGATCATATTATTAATTCATTAAACATAATTAAATGTTCAATTATTTATTTATCAAATATATAGTCTGTCTCTTATACACATCTAGATGTGTATAAGAGACCATCTTATGTACATCAAATACCTATATTTTAAACATAAAACATACATAAAAATGAGCCCATTTTGAACGAAATATGGTCATAATTTTGTCCATTTTATATCCGTTTTATATGCATATTCTGTCCACTTTACAGTATGTACGAACTTTGTCATAATTTATCAATTTTATATTTATTATATGATCATATTATTAATTCATTAAACATAATTAAATGTTCAATTATTTATTTATCAAATATATAGTAAAATGTTGCTACTTACAAATATATTAAATTACAAACTACTATTCCACTATTTCTTTTGCTTGTTTACTTCAGTTGATCTTGGCGGATTTAACATTTTTTTTTGGTGTTTGTTCTATTTTAACCAATTTAGTATTATTCCTCTCACATCACATCAAAACTAGAACCTACAAAAGAGAACAAATAAAACGTTAGAAAATGTTCATTAAAGGAGATGAATTCAAATAAAATAGTTCTTAATTCTCTCGCCAAGATCTGAAATCTTAAATCTACACGTCTAAAAAAAGAGAAAATATAAGTTAGAAAAGTTTCTAATTAATTAAATAAATAAATAAAAATGAAGTTATGCAGTGGAATATACGAAACTTACATTTTAAACATCTCGTGTGTTCCAGACTTGAAACCTACAAAAGAGAATAAATATTAGAAAACATTTCTGATTAAACACAAAAAAATAAAGTTTTGCAATGAGTATTGCGAAACTTACCATTTCCATTCTCCTATTAATCCAAAAGTCCAAAGCTTACAAAAAGATAATAGTTTCTTTAAAAAAAGAATAGGTTTTAAAGTCCAAATTAAAACTTTGAATCTAAACACCCAAATTTAAGGCAAAACCTACAGCAAAAGAAAATAAAATGAAATGTTAACAAAGAAGAAAGAAAAAATGGAATATTAATAATGCTTACTCACGTCCCAAGTAAAAAAAAATCTTTTCATTTTCATATACCTTCCAAATGTCCAGTTCCTATAAAAGAAAATAAATTGAGCATTAGTAATATTTACTAATGTTCTTAATTAAAAAAACCTCCCCTTTCACCTACTTTTTTAAATACTTTCTAAAGTATTTGTTGGGTGAGTCCCTACAATAAAAAAAAAATTATTTTTTATGTAAAAAAAAAGATCGGATATCTGATGATCTAAATGATATTACATCAAATATCTGGATCAGATCACACTTCTAGTCCGGAGAGAGACTTAAAAATTTTTTATTGCTAGTATTCCACATGAATCGTTCAGAAAGACAAAAAAATTCACCTAAAAAAATATAAGAAAAATAAACAGTTAGTGACATTTATTAAATAAACAAATTTGTGGATAACTCACGTCCAGAAACTGAAAAACTGCCTAAAAGGGAAAAAAATTGAAAACTTACCAAAATGTTGCACTATGAAACTACAAAAGAATCACCTAAAAAAAAAGGTAAAAGCACCCATAAAAAGAAGTTTCTTTAATAAAAGTATGAAGGAAAAAGAAAGAAGGGAGGGAGAAAGAAATAAGAAAAGAGAAGGAAGAAAGAACAAAGGGAAAAAGGAAGGAAAACGTGTCTGTAGTCTATTCTAAATTGTGTATCATTACATTTGATATCTAACTTTTTTTAGTTGTACACAGTAGCTTGTGTAATGGAAAAGTTAGAAATAATATGTAATTATATATATATTGTATATAAAAAAAATAATCACGTGTGTCATAGTGATTGATTAAACTTTTTAGATTTCAAGCTAAAACTCTTTTAAAAGTTTGATCGAACTGTTGAAACTTTCTTTAATCATTTTTTAATTTTCTTTTAAAGGTTTATCAAAACTTCTTTTTTTTTTTAAAAAAAAAAATTTTGATCAAACTATAAAAGCTTTTTTAATTAATTAATTTATTTTTTTGATCAAACTGTTCTTTTTTAAAAATTTAACTTTTTTAGTTTCAAAATTTCAAAAATTTTTATTCCTCTTTAAATATTATTAATATTTTACATTCTTTTAAGTGGTTCTTTAAGTTTCCTTAGATATGAAATTTTGGTAAGTGCAAATTTTATACTTTTTTTTCTTTATTCCATCTTTTAATAAACATTACTGACTTTTTTTTTCTTTTAAGACAGTTGGATAATTATATATATATATATTCTTTATTTCTTTGAATTTCAGTGAGTTCTTCTTTATTTTTCTTTAAAATATTTTTAACAAAATGGTATTAATATTTATCTTTTTTTTTCTTTTTTTAGATGGATTTATTAAGTCGAATGTTAATGAGATACCTGCTGGTAAGCAAAATTGATAGTAGGGCTACTACTAGAAAGTAAGAGCCAGAGGAATGGCTGGAAGGAAGTAAGAGGGGAGAAAGTAGGTGATATAATGTTACAGGGGAGCAAGTCCATTTACTATTCTTTATCTGCAAACGAATTTAAAAATTCAGTTCAGAACAATCAGGTGATATTGTTGTCTAAATCAAGTTCCCACCTTGTTATAGTTGTGTCACCAGGGGCGCTATGTCAACGGAAATTTAGTACGTTGATCGCTTAAAAAAAAAAAAAAAAAAAAAAAAATATTTACGATGATTTTTTTTGAACTCTGCATAACTTACAAAAATTCAACATTTTTTTTTACGTTCGTTACGTTCATTCATTATTTGATCAACTCCATAAAATGATCTAATAACCTTCGATAATCACTCAATATTATTAACAACCGGAGTTCGGAATGTTACTCCAGAAATGTGCAGCTTGCATTAACATACAATACGTGTATCTCGCATTATTTCCTTTTTGACGTATCCTTAAAATATTTTAATTTAGACATATTTGAACTATTGTAATAATAATAATAATAGGATTTTTACATTAAAATGCACAATCAAAAAAATGAATTCGTAAGAAAAATCATTTGGAGTTACATTATTGTGTTTTTTTTCTTTGTTATAAAATAGAGTAAATTTCATAAGTTATACATGATGAATATGAATGTAGAATCCTATGTATTATTTGTATTATTACATTTTATAAATACTGAAATTTTTTTTCATTGTGCTTTTGAATGAATAATATGATTCTTTACATGAAAAAAAAAATTTAAAATTGTAACCGTTAGTCTAAAATTTTGATTCAACTTTTTCTCATTGTTACTTTGTTAAAATATACCAAAAAAATCATCATTAATAGGATGCATAATAACAAAGAAATATGCCCGAAGATCTGCAGGTGAAAACCAGTATTCGGCATCAAAATTTTGCCAAGTGTTCACGTGACTACGCCTCAAACTTCAAGGTAACCTAATAAAGATTTTGTATAATTCTCTTTGCATGTAATCTATTATATTGTCCATTGTTCTAATATAAAAAGTTCGTTGTAGATTTTTTTTTTTGAAAAAAAAATAATGCAACAGATCTACTTATTTATTTGCATATATTTATGTCAATTATTTTATAATTTGGATTCAAATAAACACCACATGAAAATAAATATTTTTTTTTTAGCAAAATCAATTATTCATTGTTCCTTTTACAGAATTTCATATCCTTAAAATACCTCATGGAATACGCCCTGATGATCACATTATTCCACGGCATCTTTTTATTTAGACGTCCGAACAAATTTATGGAATCTTTTTCCAATTGTTATTATTATTAATTGTTATCTGTTACTATTGAGTTTTTCTTTTTTAGGAATAAAGACTCTCATAAATGTGTCATTTTGTTTTTCTGGAAAAATATATTTTTTTTACCGATAATTCCATTAGTCTGATGATCCGCATTGCACAATTAACTAGGGTATTAGTCAGAAAATGATCAACGCCACGCAAAGCTTATGTTTATGTAAATATTCTCTCTTTTACACCAATTGTATTTTCAGTGGATGGAAAGGTCAAAAGTGGACATGCAAGGCTAGAAAAATATCAAATAACAAGCTGCCTATTTAAAATGTTCAAATTCCATATAGGGTAGTTTAAAATCCGTTTCACGGTGTGCACTTGAAAGTTGGGAGTCAATTCTAACACTATTTCAATTCCAATAACAATTTATTAGAAGCTTCTAATACACTCCACTGGAGATAGAATTACTAACATGCGTTAAATTATTTTCCTTTTTCTTTAATTTAAAAAGTGTGATTATGAAGTATAATAATAAAGAAACAGCAAGATATTAGGAAGAGAATTAATTATTCAAGGATATTCCTCCGTCGGCCTTTGGCGTATGAATATTACATCTTATACAGATGTTACTTGTATGCAAGCTAGTAATATTCTCTCTAAGAATATAAAATTTGCTTCCACGATTTGTAAAAATCGTCTAAAAATAATTCATAAAATTTTAATAAATTTAATTGTGAGCGAAATTCGATTTTTTCTTACGCTATCAAAACCCGACATTATATATTATCAAAATGAGATACTAAAAAAAAATAAAAATATCCAAATTTAGCAAAATAACGTCAAAGAATGGAAGAAATAGTCAGATAAGGAAAAGACGAATGACGTAAGAGCCGCTGTTGCAGTGTTTAGTAGTAATATATTATGTATTTTTTTTTTAAAAAAAAAAAATATGTAAATATATATTTTATTGTATATTGTTTTAACAGTCTAGCAAAGCTAGTTTTAAACAAAGCCACATGCGGATGATACAGAAAAAGTTTCTTCACGAAAATCTCTATTTTAGACGCGATGCTCTTTATCTTGATAATGTTACCACCGTATTCATGCAGGTAGTAACGAGATAAAAATAAGGAATTTGCGATGATCGGTACACGATAGGAAAATAAATGGAGTATTTAAAAATCGAAAACAGTCGGTAGAGCATTCGACGCTCTGTAATATTCGGGAGATTCCTTCTTTTACAAAATGCTAATGCTAAACTATTAAGAAAATATACCAACATACTGCCTTTCCAGCACTCCCCAACTCGTCCTTATATACTTTCCCAAAATTCGTCCAAAGTCCAACTTGTCCTCTGGACCAATTCGTCCGATATACGAATTGTCTTCCGGCCAAGTTGTCAATCGGCCAAATTCCTGAAACCACATTTCGTCCTAAACCTAAGCCTCCCGATTCCTGTTTGTCTGTTTATACTAAAAATAACTAAAATAAATAAACTATATATATAAATTATCCAATACAAACATAAATAATAAAACTATTCATTTAACCAATAAACTATCTAAAAATATACATTTAAAAAAAATAAACTAAATTAAATATATAAAATCTATTAATACGTGTGACATTATGAAATTTATTTGCTATATCATTCGTATCAAAACAGGATTCATATATAAAAGGAAAATTTAAATGAAATGATCAAAAGAACTGAACTGCTCTCTTTTTATTGAATTGTTTTGATGATATTGAAAAACAATGGTAAAATATACTAAAAATTGGAAGGAAAATTTGATTTAAAGTGTAAAAAATGTTAAATACCTGGATAAACCTATTGATGAATTAACAAAATCGTATAGTTAAAAATAATTAAAACTTAAATTAGAATTAAATGACGAATAGAATAAAAGAAATGATTATGAACTTGTAGAACCTGACAATTACGTTATAAAATCGAAGAATTTAGATATCTTAAAATATATTAAAAAAAAATGGAAATAATGTATTAATAGCGATACTAAATTAATTTTAACTTACATAATTTTAGATTTTCAAACAAAAATCTTCTCTTTACAAAGTCACGTTAAATCTTTCATAATGTATTCTAATTTTATAAACACGTTTATTTTATTTTATTTTATTTTATGTAAAGTCGGAAGGAACTATCTAAGAGAGCATTAATCCATGAGAATAGGCCCAACATTAGTTCCATCATCCATTCCATAGAACGGACCCTACCTAATTGTTATATATAGACTGGTCCAACAACACGACCGATGAAGGAACAGGTA